CCCTGAAGCCCTGGAGACCTTGGGAGGAACACTGTTTACCACCATCTGTGGAATGGGGTTGAGGCACATTCACTGAAGGCTACTTCTGCTGACATCAGGATCATATGATTGTTATTCTATATCTCAAAACCACACTGCTTTAGCATCCTTTAGTTTTAGAAAACAATTCATGCTAGACCCATCATAAGTTACGAACATGGCTTGATCTCATTATTTTCATAATTTTCACCACTACCATTTACTTAAGATTTAGCAAATCCTCAGCATTGTGATAGTTGCTCAGAGGGATTTATGGAAAAAAAGGAAATATAGTCTCCTTCCTCAAGAAATATACTTTCTAGTTGACAGCAATATGAAACATGAATTATTTCAATTATTCATTTGTAAATCTGGCTCCCTCACTGGACTATGCACAGGACCAAATTTTATTCATCTTTGTATCTTTGTTGCCTAGAATAGTTCCTGGGACATAGTTGATATTCATTAAATATTTGCTGAATAAAACAATAGAATATGAAATAGCTAGGCAAATATATGTAAATATGTAATTGACCTTTGTTTTGTTGAAGCAAAAGTAGGGTAAAAATATGGAGAAACAGGCATGGAGACCTAGATAAATGATGAAAAGCATCCAGAAAAAGAGTAGCTTTAAAAGAAGAATAGAATTTGTATTGTTAAGGGTGGAGAAGCCTTAAGAACCTCAGGATAGAGGGAGCCGTGAACCCAGGACATAGAATAGGAAAGGAGTATGGCCTCTTGAGGAAGGTGAGGTGGAGACACTTAACTTCAGTGTTGAAGTGTTGTTGGGGGTGTACAGGGCCAAAGAAAGGGCCCCAAATTAACGGTCCTGGCAGGCTGGGATTTCAATTTGATTGAGCAAGCTGTGAGTTGCCTCTACTAATTTTTCTTCAGAATAAATAGGATCAATGTTTTGTTTCAGGAAAATGTGTTTGGCTGAAGTTAAGGGTAATATAGAGTAAGACAGATAGGTGGATAGTCACATATTGTCATCAGGTCAGTTAAGAAAAGGTCTGAAACAATGGTCTGCCAGGCATCAGGAAGGGAAGCAGGGTTGAAATGAAGGCTGTGAGAAAGCAGAAAGCATATTGCATCCAAGGACTGAGAGGTCAAAAGCATTGCACACATCTGAAGACAGGGAATATTAAAAAATATTCAGGAAACATCATAGAGGGCAGTTTCATGGGTTCCTGTTGGGTTTTGGAGGCTGAGGAGCAAGGACAGATGCAAAATTTTCATTTGTTTGTTTCATTATTTTGAAAATCAAATTGAAGACAGTTTAGTAAAAGAGAAGAGCCAACAGGAAGAGAAGGATGCTGTAGGGAAAGACTGAAGTGTGGAGTAAGGCTGTGAGTCATCAGCGAAAACCTATGGACCCTGTTTCCACAGGCCACATACAATGGGGGTGAGGAGGGCTATGATCCTGTCAAAGGGCAGTGTGGGTCTGGCTCTAGCTCCACTTGTACCCTTAATGGTTCTAATTATTTGGGGATGTTTCTTGGGAACTCTCTTAATTTCCATAAGGAATAGTCACCATTTTGTCCACTTGTGCTCCAAATCAGCCCTATGATACCTCCTATTTGATGGCAGGACCAAACATTCCCACCAAAATTTACCGTTGCCCTTCCTACTCCTTCTCTGGTCCAGATGTGGGCTGGGACAACTTGGAACCCCAGGCAGCTGTGTCAATTCTCTCACCTTACATGGTCCCATAAGGAAGGACAATGAACTTCCCTCCAAATTGTGCCACCTGGTACACAGGCTACAAAACAGAGATTTTACTAAATAAAGCCTAAAATTTTGCTGATTCAACTTCAGGCTCCACTATAGAACTAAAAATGAGTTCATGTGTCCAAGACTGAGAGAAATCAGGCTGTATTCCAGGATTGGTCAAAAATTTTTGTCAAAGTACTGTTAACCTTGGAGGGAGCGTAGAGGAGGTACTGACTCTAGGCTTAGTCTCCAGTTTTCTTTTTCTTTTTTTTTTGAGGAAGATTAGCCCTGAGCTAACTACTGCCAATCCTTCTCTTTTTGCTGAGGAAGACTGGCCCTGAGCTAACATCCATGCCCACCTTCCTCTACTTAATATGTGGAATTCCTACCACAGCATGGCTTTTGCCAAGTGGTGCCATGTCCGCACCCAGGATCCAAATGGGCGAACCCTGGGCCACTGAGAAGGGAACGTGCAAACTTAACCACTGCACCACCAGGCTGGCCCTCCAGTTTTTCAATATAAATTTTTTATACATGCAGTCTACCTTGAGAGAAATGCCTCCTAAATAATCAAACTCTGTGGGCCACTTTGTCATGGCCAACATGGCCAACAGTGATCAGCATCATGTCTATCATAACCCTTGCTCATTTCAGGTTTCTGAATTCCCATCCTCTTGCATATTGGCTCTGGCTTCAAGTTTTAGGCTTCAAACTTGCCATTTTTAACCTTCAATCCTGATCCTTAATTTAAGCAACTAAACATACGATATTTTAGAAATCATATCAAAATAAAAATGTTAATTATATTAAAACACCATAAAAAAAGCATTTGTTACTTTTGTGATGCAAGGGAAGTATTTGGGAGGTGAACTAGAGAAAAAGGAATTAGAACTTCAGTGTTTCTAAACAAACTTTTGTGTGAGTATAACTGCAGAGAATTGAAATGATTTACAGATCAGCTTGTGTGTTTGTGTGTGTGTGTGTGTACATGTTGTGTGTCTGAGGTAAGCAGAAGGAAAAATATGACAAAATCATTTCAAATAACTAATATGCAGGCTGTAAAGACTTGCCAAGGAATCATACACACCAGCTCCTTTGCTAAGCAGGCTGGTGCTGGCTGCAACGGCTACTGTTAATGAGTTCAGCATAACGAGTTCTAAAAACAATACCTCATCCTCTTCATTGTGACATGGCAATAGCTTCAATACCTTCAGATTCTCTGAAAACACACACACACAAACACACAGCACACACCACCATCACTCTTTGTGCATCAGCATTTTTACTTTCAGAACTATCAAAAAAAAAGAAAGAAAGACACAAAATTACCCAATACTAAAAGTGTTATTCTCTGAATTTTGCTTCTTCATGCACCTGAAAAACAATTTCAAAAGCAGAGAAATTAAAAGACAAATACAGCAGCAACAACAACAAATTTCTCCCAAATTCTCAGGTGGTTTTGTATATTCCTTGATACATTGCTGTATTCCCCTGGCTTCGCATAGGTTGCAGTTGGAGAAATATGTTTCACTGAAATGTTTTCCCTTCACTCTGAGGATGGCTCAGACTCTTTGGAACACTTTTTCTTTCATTTGTTCATTCATTTATCAATTCAATCAACACATATCTTACTGAGCCCACCATGTGCCAGGTATTCTATTAGGCTTTAAAGACGGAAAAATGGATAAAACCCAGTTCTGTCTTCAAGGAACTCACAATCTAGTGGGAAAAAACTGCCCAGCTACTTGTAATTCGGACAGTAAATGCAGTAATATGTCTATATAAGATATATTTTGAAGTCACAAGAAAAGTCACTTCTTGGAAAGGTGAAGAGAATCTTCCAGGAGCAGGTGATCCTAGGACTGAGCGTTCAGGTGTAAACAGGAATTAGGTGGGTAAGGAAGTGAGTCCCTGCCTCGTAAGCAGCATGAACAGAATTGAGACAATTAACATCACTGGGGTGAGAGAATATTACAGACAAAGTGCTAGAGCCCAGAGAAGGAAGGACCAAGTGCTATGGACTGAATTGTGTCCCCTCAAATCCATATGTTGAAGCCCTAAGCCTCAATGTGATAGGTTTTGGAGATGCGGGTCTTTGAAAGTAATTAGGTTTAGATGAGGTCATGAGGGTTGGGACCTTATGATGGGATTAGTGCCATTGTCAGAAGAGAGCTTGCTTGCTCTTTCTGCCATGCTAGGACACAGCAAGAAGGTAACCTTCTATAAGCCAAGAAGAGAACTCTTACCAGAAACTGGACCCTACTGGACCTTGATTTTGGACTTTCCAGACTTCAGAATTGTGAGAAATAAGTTTCTGCAGTTTAAGCCACCCAGTCAATGGTATTTTGTTATGGCAGCCTGAGCTGACTAAGACATTTTGGAATGTGAGGAAATGAAGCTGGAGAGGTGAGCTGGGTCCAGACTGGGAGGCCCTACTTGCCCTGTAAAGAGACAGGCTTGATACTCCAGCTAAAGGAGACTGTTGATGCATTTTGCTTCTCTTTACACAGGCTGAGTGTTTTCCCAGGTATTTCCTCAATTCTTGATGCAAATCACTCCTGGCTCACCAATCATCCACCCAAATATGCTTCTGTCCTAAACTGAAAATAATTTACGTTCTCAGGACGATATTTTCTTTCCAACAAAGAAATCTGGAAAAGTAAGTTGAGTGGACTATTTAAGGTACCAGAATTGTCACTTTCCAAAGCAAAAGTAAAATAAAAAGCAATGCATGATCAATTCACAATGGCACATTAAAATAATACAATCCCACTGTGTTATTGAGATATTCAGTTTTATTAATGAGCAATTCTCTTTTATTTGTAGGCAATGGAAGTGAACAAGCAGTTTCAGGGGATTATTGAAGGAATTGTTACATCCTTACAAATCTTACATCTGCTGCTGATTATGCCTAAATGGTTGGAAATACCAACTGACATCATTTTTTTCTTCCAACGTTACACGAATGGGAATAATGAAGACGACAAAATGAGCAAATGCCATTCTTAAAAATAAGGTTTGATTAAGTGACTCTTGGCTGGGAATTTTTTTTTAAATACTCATTTTGATCCAAAGGTTTTTTTGTTTGTTTGCAGACATTCTTGGTGAGGAAGATCACCCCGAGCCAACATCTGTAATCAATCTTCCTCTTTTCTTTTCTCCCCAAAGCCCCAGTACACAGTTGTATTTCCTAGTTGTGAGTTCTTCCAGGTGGGATGCCACCACAGCATGGCTTGATAAGTGGCGCATAGGTCCACACCCAGGATCCAAACTGGAAAACCCTGGGCCGCTGAAGTGAAGTGCACAAACTTAGCCACTACGCCAACAGGCCAGCCTCTTGGCTGGGAATTCTTTTTCTTTAATGGGAGCCTCTCTTTTGAGTTTACATATATATAATAGCATCAGCAATTGCCAAAGTAACCCTAAAGCCCCAATGTGCCTTTATGCACTACATTGTCATTATTGGTAAAGTCATCTGTATCTACAAATATTACCTATTTCATTTGTCATTATATACAAATTAAAATTAACTCTCCAGTTCTCTTTACTGCTAAACTCAGAACGTTAAGGAATTTGTTGAATAACACTACACCACGGTCATCCCCCTTCCCTGAAAAACCTCAAGACATTTATAACACAATGAAACATAGCACCATTATAGTTTGCAAGGAACTTATATACATATTGCTGTCTAGTTTGATCCTCGCAAGGGTTCTATGAAAGGCATTATTGTTAACAGCTACCATTTGTAGCACAAGAAACTGTAGTTGACGGAGGTCCATTCTCTTTGAGAGAGAACCCTTTTCTTCTGGCTCTCCCCAGAGTAGGAAAGTTGGGGAATCACAAAGCTGAGTCATTGTTTAATAGGAGCTGTTAGCTCTGAAACTGCTGTATCACATTTATTCCAAATGAATAAACAGGGTAATTGGGGAGGTGAGTGAATCAGAAGATAACAACTTGAGGTATTTCATGCCATTTGCTTCTTTTTTCATATTTCTCCTGGCCCTTTATTTTTAGTTCCTGGGCGTGAACATTGAGTTGGTTTGACACATGGGAGTGGTCTAGGAATAACGCAACAGGGGCTGTTTTTAATTACTGAAGATAGTCCACAAGCCATCTGGTAAAAGAATAGGAAGGAAATATTTTTTCTTGATTAATTTCAAATAGAGCTATTAAGATGACAAGACTGACAACTTGCTGTCCTGGCCATATCATTGAGTCATTGTAAAACCCAAGTGACTTGGGTTTTGGTATTCTTTGGTGCTCATTGCAGCTTCTGCTGGCCATGATTTAAAATTTAAGAAGTAGTTTTTAGTTCTTTTAGGGATGGACTTTCACAAAAGTCCTGAAGGGATGTGATTCCCTAATGAGAGGTATAAAGCTTGTGAACTGAAAACACACATAAAATTTAAATGGTATTTTCACTCACCAATGGCTTTATAGGGCAGAAACACTTACTCAGACAAATAATTAGCTTTGACAACAGAAAGGTAAACAAAACTATAAATTATGATTAGATAACTGTTCTTCCCTGTTGAGACAAATTAGTCAAGACTTACTCTTCAGCTGTGATACATAGATGTTAGAATATTGAGAGAGCTGTTGGAATAAATTTGGCAAACACAATTAAAAGAGCCTGAAAACTGTATTCCTTTTGCCTATGATACGTCTCTGTGTTGTAATCTGGTGACTTGATTTGTATCTTACTTTGTCAGTTTCCCTTTCTCTGTTGGAGATAGAGGAAATCAAGAGAAGAACTTCATGATTTTTAATTGCAAGGGGAAAAGAAGTACACTCAAGGAATCCTAGTATTTGACAATATTTTCCAATTGGAAGTTTCTGTGATAATGCCTGATTTTCCTCAACGATTTATTTATATAAAAACCTTGTTACTTAAGTGCATACTTTTAAAGCAGTCAAATGTCTATTATTAATAAGCAAGGTTTCTTTGACTTTAGTCTTCCAAAACTAGTGCTTTTTCAGACTGGAATCATGCATTAGTCAGTTCAGGCTGCCATAACAAAGTATCAGAGACTGATAAATTAAAAAAAAGAAATTCAAAAGAATGTTCTAGTGATTACTTTCATAAATGGTGAGGAAAAAAGAGACAAGCAGTAGGCCTAAAATATATTTGTGGCTTCTTGGCACCAAGTATTGTGTAAGATGAACCTAGAAAGGAGGTTTCATTTAATCTTTATAACCCTGTAGTACTTTATTACCTGTATTTACAACTTAACTAATTATAGTTCAGGATAATTATTAACTTATCAAAAAGCAGACAATTAGTAGGCAGTAGAGCTATATTTGGGCTGGTATTTGGCCCAGGTTTATGTGACTCGAAAATTTTTATTTTTTCAGTAACATGCTGCTCTTAACTCCTTGCTAAACAGTCTTTAAATAATGGGAACAATCTTCATGTGATATATCTATTTTGTAAGTTTTCAAATTATTTAAAATGATTGAGGAATATTAGACCTAATGGAAACCATAAATATCCTCTAGTAAAACTTTTCATTTTGCTCAAAAGGAAATACGCTCAAAGTGATAAAATGCCCCCTCACGGCCTTGCAAATTGTTATTGCAATTTGTCTATACATTCAAAGACAATTAGAGATGAGATTATCTTATATTATGAACTAGATTCCAATTTTACTTCACTTGACTGTTTTTATAAGTTTGGTATCAGTGCCTTACTTACCTCTGTGTTACTTACACACGCATCGTCAATCTCAGCTCTTGGGGAATAGGGATCCCCACGTGATACTCAGCATGACACAGATGACCCTAATGGGAAAAGGTAGGGGGACAAGAGCTTGGTGGGGGTCTCTAGCAGGCTGTTTTGTTATTGGGAATTCCTATCAGGCTGATGGTCATTGTCCTGGAGATTGTTTCTTGGCTTGGAGGTCTTTAATCCCTGTACCAGGGCCCAGGGGCAAGTCTTACACCCTTGAAAAAAACTACTATTTTAGACAAAATTATTAATTAGCACTTGGGAGGGGGATCCAAAGTGGTGCTCAGTCTTAGGGACTTGACCTACACAGGGACCGCGAAGTGGAGAGACACATCCTTAGCTTCAGTAGGTTTTGGGCTTGATGATGAGCACAAGAGTGTCAGAACATGGGGGTGCGGTGGGGGAACAGAGTTGCTCATTCAGGGTATTCCACGTTAGGGACTGCCGGGTAATATCAGCGTAGAAGCATAAGTGCTCCAGGCCTCAATGCAGAATTTTGTTTAAAGCTGAGACATGAAAAAAACGAAAAGTGAAGAACCTGAGAAAGAGAGAAAAAAACATGAAAATAATTGAGAGAACTGACAAAGTCTCTCTTCTTAGATTCTGTTTGACTGAAGACTTTTAAACCACAAAATACCATGAAGCATTAAAAGATGACCTTGACGTAACTATCTACTGTTGGATCTGTGATCTTTTTTTCCCTATGAGTTTGTTGCTATTATATGAGAAAGATTTGGAAAGTTATGTTTCAAAGAAAGTAGTACTTTATGAAAATGTAGAAGTTGACAGGGAAAAGAAACATAATGGAAGAACTCTCAGGCATCAAAAAATAATCTAAGAAAGGTAATAGACTAGGTTCAGGGTTTAAAAAAAACAACAACAAATAAATACAGCTTGGTAGGGTTATTAGGTTATTTTCATAGAGCATAAATCAAGCAATTAAAGTACTTAGCACTGAAAGTGACATAATCAGATTAACAAGAAAAGGAAATTTGGGAAATTTACATTTCTAGTGTAAATTAATAATGTTTAAATACAGTTACTCAGAGTAGTAACTTCCTACAGAATAAGACAATTTGCTGGAAGAAGAAGCACTCTTAGATAAGAAATCTGTCTATATATTCAAAGACGATTAGAGATGGATGTTTATCTTAAAACTATAGCCTAACTAATTTACTCTCAATTTTATATGGACATTATTAAGATAAATACTTTAAATATTTATTTCACCTCTGAAGTGTAGACAGAGGCAAAAAGATCCCCAAATGTTTAATGTACATTTGAGAAGCTGGACTGTGGAGACAGAAAAAAATGATTACATTTTAAAATATTGGGATTTTGTAAGACTATCAACAAAGGAGAGAGAAAAAGAAAGTAACAAAGATAAAGGCTTCAAAGATTGAGGCAGTAGAGTTTCACAGTTCTCTCTAAAGGAGAAAATGATGAATAAGAAGTCAGGGGTGGAAAAAAGGCCTTTTTCTATGCTGAGGTGGAATTTGTAATCAGACTTTTGGGAAGGGATATTACTTAGAAGAGTAAATTGAATATTTTAAGTATTTTAAACTCTTTTTCTGATAATAGCAATATGTTCCATTTATACGATTGAGAGAAAAGAAAAACTAACTATAAAATAAATCAGTAATTCTAAGACTCAGAGGTATCTATTAGAACATTTTGAAATTGTTCCTTTCGGTTTTCTATGAGTTTTTATATGGATGGCATAATAAAGTTTACAATTTTATAGCCTTTAAAAATTATACCAATTTTTTAGCTATATCTTGATCTCTCAAATCAAGGTAGAAGATGAAGCTGAGGTCATGTAAAAATGTACAAACAAGCCAACGGGACAAAGAATTCATGAAAGAGGCAACAGATAAATTGTATGTGATAAATAGTCACGTGAGAAACACCCAGAACACTCACCTTGTTCTAGCAGGTCTCAGTTTCGCTGTTATTCAAAATGAAGCTGCTTACTAAACTTTATCCTGTTGACAGATGATTTCAAAAGAGTTAGGACTGACATAAAAGACTAATTCCATTTTGGTCTTTGATCATAAATAATCATTTTATGTAAGATACATTTAGCTCATGGTAAACAACCTGCAGTATGAAATTCTCCCTAAAATAGGGTAGCATTTGCAGAAAATCCCCATGCTCGCTATACAAATGTACCTATTTCTGCTTCCACTCAGGACGAAGAAATCTACAAAGAATGTTGTTCTCCTAATATTAATGAGAAAATGTCAAATAATCACCAGAAGCATAAGTTTTCTTGGACCCATCAGGAAGCTGAGGTTATAAAGCAACCAAGCAAACACCACTTTGGAATAGCTGGGCCCAAAACACAAAAGGGACTCACCTTCTCTCTCGAGCTCTTGTTTGCCTCTCCAGGCGCTCATGGGAAAGGATGGGGGCAGGGCAGGAAATCAGAGAGAATGCCCCTCGATGAAACAGGTATGGAGCAGATCCTCAGCGGCTGTGGAGAACAGGAAAAAACCTGCCGACTTTCACGGAAACTTCTCTCCTGCCAAGTTAAGCCTTGAGCTACCTGCGGAGAGATAAAACACCCTCTTGCCCCTAGTGCACAAAGATCCATTTATTCTGGAAAAAGTAGGTGTAAAATCTCTTGGGCAAGAAATTCTCAGGCAAGACCAACAACAGATACAGGCAGAGTTCAGCTGCCACAGGGAGAAGCGGCAGGACGGCCGAGAAAGTTCCACCCTTTGCGCAGGGCTTGTCTAAGGCTGAGGCTGGAGCGAGACAAGAGAGAACCCCACCTATCTCCAAATTTAGCTCCTGTTAAGGTAATTAAACAAGGAGGCCATTAGACTGAGGTGTCTCTAAAGCATTGGCGGCCTAGGTAAGCAAGCAAAAACCTAAACCAGTCAATGCATTGCAATCCGAGAAAATGAAGCTGAAGAACAACCAATCACAAACAGCACAGCAGGCTTTCCCACATAAGGCAACAGCTTAAGCTGCAGCCAATCAGACAATTGCTTTGCTTTGTTTCCTTGTCTTCTCTATAAAAACCTTGGCCCTAGCTCTGTGCCACGCTCCTAATTACCTTCAGCTTGGATCTGAGGGATTCCAATAGTTGTTTGCTCAGATAAACTCGTGAAATTTTTAACATGCCTCCGTTTATCTTTTAACACATCTATAACAAGCAACTACAATCTACCACTTTGGGGGAGGGAGGCAGGGTATAAGAACACGGGAGAAAGAGCTGCTCTGTGGCACAGCTGTGCAGGAATTGCTGAAAGGGAAGCAGGAAAACTAAACCTTGTAGTCCGCAACTGCCACTCTCAGTACAAGGTAAGAGCTGTCAGTCAACCGCTGGAAGAAACTGAAGCCCGTGGTGTCCTGAGGGTTACAATGGTATCAGTAAAAGGCTGACACTAACGTTGATGAAATCTCAAGGGCATAATGCTCAGTGAAAGAAGCCAGAAACAAAAGACTATCTGTTATTCCATTTTCATAACATTCTGGAAAAGGTAAAATGACTACTACGAGTCAGAACTGGGATCCATGTTTGCCAGTGGCTGGGGTTAATTGGAGGGAATTGACTAAAAGAGGCACAAGGGAATTTGGGGGGAGTGATGGAAATATTCTAGATCTTCATTGGGATGGCGGTTACATGCCTATATAAATGAATTTAAATGTATGTAAATTATATGTCAATATAATTGACTTTTTAAAAGTCTGTACAAAGAAAGAGTGATGTCATGTTTGTTGAAAGAAGAACTCAGCTGGGATTCAAGAAACCTGGTTATCTTTCCAAATCCGCCATTGGTGATTTGGCCTCGTATATGAAAGATGCCAAGTTCATTTATCCATTCAATCGTTTATTCATCCACTTTTTAAATACAGATTTAGTGTTCCAGGCGCTGTCTGAAATAAAGCATTTACAATGTTAAGGAAAACAGTGTTCCTTTTCTTATGAAGTTTATGATGGAAGAGATAAACAAACAACAAACAGCACAAAATAAAATTTCAAATATTAATGAGTCTCATGAAGAAAGTAACACAGGGTGAAAAGGCAAAGCATCATTGCAGAAGGCAACATGATGGTGGATGACATGGGGGAACATTTGACCAGGGCTTTCAAAGATGTCTTGAGAGTCCTTGGCAAAATCCGGAAGAAGGCTCTTTGCAGAAGGAAGAGAAGTGGTAAAACCAGGCTTTTGACTGGAATAGTTTAAAGAAGGAATATGTCAGAATCTATCCCTAAGAGTTTCAGAATATATTCAAGTTGTGTTTATTTGAGACATTTTCCTAATCATTGCTTTAGAAAAGTAGCCTAATAATGCTATTTTCTTAATTCCATTCTTTATTTAAGTTATTGCTCTTTGTGAATGTTTTTATACTCAGAAAATAATACCATTTTCCATCTCTTTTTGCAAGGTGGATTGTGTTCATTGTTGGGTGCTATTAAGCCAGAATATTTCAGGTACTACGCTAATCTTGAGTTATCAAATCTTTATGTGAGTTTTGATTCCTTTTATTTCAGTGAATATCAAACCCAATTTTTGAAAACTGGCTTACATTTCATTCATTTCCCTTTAGGAAAAGAGAACCCTTGGAATCTTTCAATATAATTTTTTTTCCTTATTAAATTTCCAAGAAATACTTCATATTTTGTCAAAACCATTAGGACATTGATTTTGAAGCTTTTTTGGAACGTTCCTTCCGAAATGTAATAGTAGAAACTGCTTCTACCTGAACTTGACTTTCAGCAGAAAATTCTTTCTTCTTCATAGTGTGTGTATCCTATGACTATTCTGAAGAAATATTTGTCATTTGATGTGGAAAGTTAAAGGAAGAGGAAAATCAGGTGGTGTGCTGTGTGGAATGTTAATACTGAAATATCTAGGGAACTCTGGCTTCTTATGTTAGAGATCTCTTATCAGACTAACACTCTCACCATAAACAACTTTGAAATATGGAAATAAAATAAACATTTTAGACATCAGAGAACAACCAAGCCTGCCAGTTTTTAAAGGATCAAGATTCTATTGAGAAGGGAGATTGGACATCTGTAGGGAAAAAACAAGTTTTCATCTCTACATCAAGCCGTATACACAAAATATCATTGCCACTAATGTTTGCTATGTAGATCTAATTAAAAGAGACGATAATACAGATTATATAAGAAAACATATGATCTTGGGTTAGGCAAAGATTTCTTAAACAGGGCACAAAAATGCTAACTATAAAGGACAAGATTAATAAACTAGAATTTATTAAAGCACAATTAGGTTACAAAAAAGACACCATGAGGCAGTGGAAAGGAAAGCCATAGAGTGGTAAGAGATATTTGAAATAGATATATCTCAAGTGATTTATAGCACCAATATATGAACAATCCTTAAAAATTACCAAGAAAGAAACAGGCAGCCTGATCTTTAAAATGGACAAAAGACTTGATCAGCCACTTCAAAGCGAAAGAATAGAAAACATGTCCAAAAATGTGACTAGTAATATGAAAATTGCAAAATAAAATCATGAGATATCACTACACAGCTACCAGAATTGTTACAATTTTAACAACATAAACACACAAAAAATCTGATAATACCAAGTTTTGGACAGGATACGGAGAAACTGAAACTTAGCACATTGCTGGTAAGAATGTCAGTTGGTACAATTATTTTGAAGGTAGGCAATATCTACTAAAGTTGAGCATGTGCTTTCTATATGACCTAGCCTTCCATTTCTATGCAAACCAAGTAGAGGCGGGAAAGGTGGTTTGAAAACACGTATGGAAGTTTCCCCACAACAAAAATGCTCCCCGTTCACCCTTGGTCTATTTCAGTTAAGATAAAGGTTAGACCATGGTTTGCTTACCAGAACTTGTTTATCGATTCTATCATTTGATCAATGCTGGGAGGTGAATTTTTGGCAATGAGAAAAATGATGTGAGTGCTCCAAGATCAGATAGATGATTCGGGTACTAAGCAAGAATTAGTGATATTTGTAAAGTTAGATCATTCTGATGTTTATTTTTCTTGCTTTATAAATATGTAATCTTCATTTGCTTTTATTGAACATCCAAAAGTTGTGTTGTTTTTGTAAATGAAGGGAACGCTGCTTCTGTCTTGTTAGCTTGTCTTAAAGGTGGAATTCTTTTTTTTTTCAATCAATTTATTGGGATTATAATGGTTCACAACATTGTATAATTTGGGGTATACAATATTGTTTATCATCTCCTGAATGTGCTTCTTCATGCTCACCCCCAATAGTCTAATTTTTATCCATCACCATACATATGTGCTCCTTTATCCCTTTCACCTACCTTCCCAACCCCTTTCCCCTCTGGTAACCACTAATCTGTTCTCTTTATCCATGTATTTGTTATCTCCCACATATGAGTGAAATCATGCAATATTTATCTTTCTCTGTCTGGCTTATTTCACTTAACATCATAGACTCAAGGTCCATGCATGTTGTTGCAAGTGGGACGATTTTATCTTTTCTATGGCTGAGTAGTTTTCCATTGGATATATATACCACATCTTCTTTATCCATTCATCCAGTGATGGGCACTTGGGTTGCTTCCACATCTTGGCTGTTGTGAATAATGCTGCAATGAACATAGGGGCACATAAGTCTCTTTGGATCATTCATTTCAAGTTCTTTGGCTAAATACCCAGTAGTGGGATAGCTGGGTCATATGGTATTTCTATATTTAGTTTTTTGAGAAATCTCCATACTGTTTTCCATCATGGCTGCACCAGTTTGCATTCCCATCAGCAGTGGATGAGTGTCCCCTTGTCTCCATGTCCTCTGCAACATTTGTTGTTTTTTGTCTTGGTAAGTATAGCCATTCTGACTGGTATAAGGTGATATCTCATTGTAGTTTTGATTTTCATTTCTTTAATAATTAGTGTTTTTGAGCATCATTTCATGTGTCTGTTGGCCATCTGTATATTTTCTTTAGAAAAATGTCTGTTCATATCCTCTGCCCATTTTTTGATTGGGTTGTTTGGGTTTTTTTGTTGTTGAGTAGTATGAGTTCCTTATATATTTTGGAGATCAATCCCTTGTCTGGTAAATGACTTGCAAATATTTTCTCCTAGTTGGTGGATTGTCTTCCTGTTTTGTTCATGGTTTCCTTTGCTTTGCAGAAGTCTTTAGTCTGATTCAGTCCTGTTTGTTCACTTTGTCTTTTGTTTCCCTTGCCTGACTAGACATGCTATTCAAAAAGATGTCGCTAAGACCAATGTCAAAGAGTGTACTGCCTATATTTTCTTCTGGGAGTTTTATGGTTTCATGTCTTACATTCAAATCTTTAATACATTTAGAGTTAATTTTTGTGTATGGTGCAATATAATGGTCTAATTTCTTTCTTTTGCATGTAGCTCCTAGTTTTCCCAACAACATTTATTGAAGAGACTTTCCGTTCTCCATTGTATGTTCTTGGCTCCTTTGTCAAAGATTAATTGTCCATAGATGTGTGGTTTCATTTCTGGGCTTTCAGTTCTGATCCTTTGATCTGTTTGTCTGTTTTTGTGCCAGTACCATGCTGTTTTGATTACTATAGCTTTGTAGTATGTTTTGAAGTCAGGGATTGTGATGCCTCCAGCTTTGTTCTTTTTTCTCAAGATTGCTTTGGCTATTCTGGGTCTTTTGTTGTTCCATATAAATTTTTGGATTCTTTGTTCTATTTCTGTGAAGAATGTCATTGGGATTTTGATTGGGATTGCATTGAATCTGTAGATTGCTTTAGGCACTATGGACATTTTAACTATGTTTATTCTTCCAACCCATGAATGTGGAATATCTTTCTATTTCTTTATGTCTTCTTCAATTTCTTTCAATAATGTCTTATAGTTTTCAGTGTACAGGTCTTTTACCTCTTTGGTTAAGTTTATTCCTAGGTATTTTGTT